TCTAAAAATCCAATTCTAGAAGACGAAAAAGATTAGCATGGCGTGTAAAAATAGTTGCAGGCTTTCTCGAGAGATGTTACTGTTAAACATCTGTCAGATTGTCGGTAAAGCCATGGTGTCGACGATTCTAGAATTTGATCTAAAATCTCGGTCTGAGCAATGTGTAGCTAATAAAATTGCTGCTTTTTCGTAAAAGTTGATTGGCTATAAATTTCTCGGACCGAATTCTAACATCGGGAACACGAGATCATATATATGGTATGTACGAGTATATACACTACTTTCTTATCTGACAGAAGAGGTTATCTGGAAATTTTTGTGTGGGTAATAACACACATAGTACATAATATCACGTAATATATCTGTATAATGTTTGTTATTCAGGACTTCTGTCCGTCACGAGATTGAGCGACGTGAGGACGGAGATAAAAAACTAATGATGTGTGTACAAAATTAAGCAAACTTTAATGCAATTAAAAATATAATTTAAGAGATAGTAGATAACGTAAACTTAATTCTAATTAATTCTAATGTGACAAATGAGATAAAAGTTTGGCGAACCAATCTTAATACTTAAATTAACAATAATCAATTGAATATATTGGAAAATAACATTGAATGTAATTGTTATATGATTATAATCGAGTGCTCATTCACAAAAATGGAAACGGAAAAGGAAAACTTAATTGTCTAAGAACGAATTCAAATTATAAGATTATTACGATATTATAAAGTCAATGAGAGAGCAGAGCGTCTTTAAACTTGTAATTAATGCACTATGAGAGTGATATGAGATGTCTCTGAGGTATTTTTGGTAGAGACGCTACACAAGAGATAGAAAGAGAGAGAATCGGCTCTGAGATTGAGTCCGTCAGGGTGAGCTCTGATGAGAAGTCTTTCGGATCTATCCTCTAGCGATGGACTTCGTCCAATGCGCAAGAGGATGAGAATTAGCCCTGATCCGAAGACACTAAAGAAAGAGACGTAGCTACACCCGAACCGATCCTTGCACTTAGCTTGTCTCTTCCGCAATATGGTGATTGTATGAAATCTAGTCTCATGCGTGCTTCTTGAAACGAATGGTTTTCCGTGGCGTTGATGATTTTGAGACTCCCAGACGTTGGCGGACAAGAGATGGTATAACATCCGAAACCACACCGGATCACCTCGCCTTCCTTGTGAGTTTTGAAAATATAACTTTCTTTATCTGAGTCAAAAACAGCTACTTGCACCGAAAGATCCAAGAAGAAGGGGGGGGGGGATCAACAACCGACCCTAGCAACCGCCAACCTTGCAACCGCAGGAGCCCGAGCGGACAAAAGAAAACGAGGGAAGAGCGCTATGTTCAGGGCCAGTGCCTCTGGCAGTCGAAAATAGAGTTCATTCGTTTTACGCGCCACGATTGGTCTTGAGTCTTTCGAGATCTCGATTGCTCTGAGCGGCATTATTTAAACATTTCCGCCCGCCTTCGTTAACCTTAGTTAACGAATGAATTATACTGTATGATTAGAGATAGGTAAAGGACAGATCTTCACTATTGGACGTTTGAGGAGGGAGGTCTGCGTACGAATCAAGACTACGCGGGTGAGTCCATCCTTACCAGGATGAGTTTTAGTAATTCGACCCAATGGCCATTTGGAAGGGGGATATCGCTCATCCATCACTAACACGAGAGAGCCCTCTTGAATCGAAGGGTTGGTTCTGTTCCACTTATAAACTGCAAGATATCTTTGTAAGCATTCTCTTGACCACCGTGTCCAAAAGCTCTCCAACATTTGACGATTGAGTTGCCACCGAGTGAGATGAGAGCTTTTGACAGATTCAAGCGATGGTTCTGGAATAGTAGAGATAGCGGTTCCAATAAGAAAGTGCCCAGGTGTCAAGGCATTTATATCGTCTGGATCATCGGACAGAGGGCTGAGAGGTCGAGAATTCAGAACGGCTTCTATCTGAGTTAAGAGTGTAGACATTTCCTCGTACGTTAGAAGATGGTCTCCAACCACTCGTTTGAGGTGAAATTTCACAGATTTACCCCCGGACTCCCATTTCCCTCCAAAGTGAGGAGCTGCAGGGGGATTGAAAAGCCATTGAGTACCATCGTTCGCTAGAAGATTTGCTAAGTCTCCGAATTCAGTTGAGGCCGATGAAAAGAGCTTTCTGAGCTCAGAGTCTGCACCTTTAAGATTAGTACCGCAATCACTTCTTAAAGTTGCACAGATACCTCTTCTTGATGTGAATCGTTTATATGCAGCGATGAATCCTTCAGTGGTATAGTCAGTGACTAACTCCAGATGTACTGCAGAGGTTGATTGGCAGACAAACAAGGCAATGTAGGCCTTGTACGTTCTGGCATTCTTCCCTCTCCAAGTCTTTGTAAGGAAGGGCCCAGCATAGTCAATGCCTGTGTGTAAAAAAGGACGGGATGGAGTAACTCGCTCTATAGGAAGTTGACCCATAATTTGTTGTGCTCTTTTCCGACGATGTCGTGCACACCGAACGCAATTTAAAATAAATGACCTGATTGGAGCTCGCCCTCCGATAATCCAATATTCATTTCGAATATATGTTAAAGTTACTTGCGTCCCTCCGTGCATTGTGCGCATGTGGGCGTCAGAAATGACTAAAGTTGTAAATGCAGATTTTCGGGGAAGATTTAAAGGATGCTTTGCGTCATAAGACAGAAAAGACGAGTGAATGCGTCCGTCTATCCGTAGTAGTCCGTGTGAATCCATAATAGGTGTAAGACGTAAGAGTGAGTTGGATCTAGGTAAAACTTCTCCCTTGGAAAGAATCGAGAGTTCCCGTTGGAAATGTGATTGCTGAATCGTCATAAACCAATAAATTTTGGAAGCTTCTAATTCGTGAGTAGTTAACGGGCCTGTTGAAATGTCTGACGATCGATGAAACCGGGCAACGCTTCTTCGGCACCATGCAGTAATTCTAAGTAACCGTGTAATACTCGAATATCGGTCAATCAAGCTCCAAGGTTCAGTAGATTTGAGTTGAATTGCAACAGAAACTTGAGGTGCTCGTTCCTATAAATTATCTCCTTGCTTTGGTGATTGAGGTGTTTGAGGCCATGAAGAAGGGCTTAACTGAAGCCAAGGTGGTCCAGTCCACCAAGCCGAGTGTTGCGAGAGCTGATTCGGCGTTAAACCGCGTGTGGCACAATCTGTGGATTTTCTGTCCCGGGTACAAATCTCCAAATAGCATGAGGCAATGATTCTTGAATAAAACAAACTCTATTGTGAATATAATCCTTCCAGCGTGATGGATGATTATTTATCCAAGTATAGGTTAATGCAGAATCTGTCCACAGGTATATTGATGGACCTTTTAATTTCCACACGAGAAGGATGCGAGTGACCAGTTTAACGAGTATAACAGCACCAGACAGCTCAAGACGTGGAATAGTTAGCCTTTTTAAAGGCGCGACTTTTGTCTTAGAATAGACTAAATTTGACGTGATCTCTCCGCAATTCGAGATTACGCGAATATAAACAGCTGCACACATAGCACGCTGAGAAGCATCACAGAAGCCATGGATTTCCATAACATGATCCCTTCGAGTGCCTAACCAACGAGGAAATTTTAGATAAGGCAGATCATGTAGTTGTTCGACAAACTTCTTCCATTTAGCGGCTACGTCCAAGGGCAGCGGATCGTCCCAGCCTAGCTTAATCGACCACAACTCCTGCATAAGAATCTTGGCTTTAATGATCACAGGAGAAATTAGTCCGAGAGGGTCAAATAACTTGGCAATTGACGATAAAACGCTTCTTTTAGTAATTAATGAAGTAGATGTCAACTCCATTGTGAAATGGAAAGTGTCAGTTAAGGGTTTCCAGCACAGTCCGAGAGCATTGGTCATAGTATGATTTTCGATTTGAAAAAACGATGAACCATTTTGCTTGTTAGTTGGTATTGATTGAAGGACGTCAGGATTATTGCTTACCCATTTGTGGAGCGGAAACCCGCCCGCCATACAGAGTTGATTAGTTTGTTTTGCAATTTCTTGAGCTTCTGAAATGAAGTCACCTCCTCCAAAAATGTCATCTACATAACGTCCTCTTTGCAGAACTGGAACGGCAAGAGGAAATTTTGCACCTTCATCGGCAATCAATTGATCTAACGAACGGAGAGCTAAGAACGGGGCGCAAGCCAAACCATATGTTACTGTGGTTAGCTGATAAGTGGAGATTTTATTGGAAGTATCCATCCAGAGTATACGTTGAAAGTCCCAATCCGCTTTATGTATCTTGATTTGTCGATACATTTTTTCCACATCCGAAGAAAAAACATATCGAAATTGTCTAAACCAAAGCAGGACATTGAGTAGGTCAACTTGAAGTTTAGCTCCAGTGTGAAGGATATCATTTAGAGACCAGCCTGTGGAGGAACGGCTTGAGCCATTGAAGACGACTCTTAATTTCGTTGTGGAATTACCTTCTCGTTTGACTCCATGATGTGGAAGATAATATGCAATTGGTGGTTCTGATTGGGAATCGGGAACGCGAGTCATGTGTAGCATTCGCTCGTATTCTTTCATGAAGTCAAAATAGAGTTTGGAATATTCTGGATAGCTTTCCAATTTCCTGGATAGACCATTAATTACTCGAAAAGCCTTTGATTTGGAGTCTCCGAGGTTTTCCGGCGGTTGCTTGAATGGAAGTCTTACAATATAACGCCCTTGATAATCTCGCGTATGCGTGGACAAAAAAATGTTGCTCGCAATCTAAATCTTCTGGGGACAAAAGTGAAGGAGTAATCGATGGAATTTCTTCAACATCCCAAAACCGATGAATTAGTTCATAAAGCTGACTATCGAGAGAAATATGATATCCTTGTACCTTGTTAGATAATGTATTAATACCGGAAGGGTCAGATATAATCCATCGAAGAGAAGTCCGCTGAGCAATTGGTGAATTTACATCTCCCTTCACGACTCCATCTTCGAGGATTTGTGCATAGACATCCGCACCTAAAATAAGATCAATGTGCTCCGGCGAAGTAAAGTCATTGTCGGCTAACTGAAGATTTTGTATGTGAGGCCACATTTTCTTGTCCGTTGAGATGGAGGGAATAGATCCTGTCAGCTTGGGTAAAATGTGAGCAGAAACGCGGTATTCAGATTTTGATCTGAAAGGCGGCCTCATTTGAAAAGAAACTAATCCCTTTGTTTGGTTGGATTTTTGCGCGCCTACTCCCACTAACGAAATAGAGGATTTAACTCGAGGGAGTCGTAATAATTGAACTAAGCGTTCTGAGATAAGAGTAATTTCCGATCCTTGATCGACTAATGCTCTTGCTCTTGCAGTTTCTCCGCTAGAATTTACAATTGTAACTTGAGCTGTTGCAAGAAGGACGGACGTGGTTGTCATTTTTCCTTTAGAAGAATGAAGCACGTGAGCGTCTGAAGGCTTGGAACTTTTCTCAGATGAGTCAGTCGACTTATTAGCTCCAGGGTCAGAGGCAAGGGAGAGGCTCAATT